TCAGGTACCTGAAAATACCTATAACTCTGTCTCTTATACACATCTAGATGTGTATAAGAGACTAATGTAACTAGTAATAATAATATAAGTAATAGTAATAATATTAATGATAATTATTATGACACTGAATTATATTTGTTTAGATTTTATTCTCAAATGAAGAGCACAATGGAAGAATAAAACCTGAAATTAACCAGGCACATGAATTTCGATTACAATGTACTAGAAGCTTTGAAGGAGGTAGGTTCGAAGTTTAAACCTATTCAGTTTACATCTTGATGAACATCTCTTCGTAGCTATACCATACATTCCATATCTTGCCATACTACTTTTCACTTTCCTGATCTACCTCTTGGCTATTTATTCATTTGGTCAATATTGGGGAAAAAACAGATCATAAACAATAACAAATGACAAATTTAGCAGAAAAAGGATTTGAAAACATGTTAACATTTACATACACTGCTCAGGATAACCCCAAAAAATCAATATCTACTTCCATTGGAATTACATATTTAAAAAGAACTACTATTTGAGCCAATTTTAATTTATTTATTTTATAAGATTTATAGAGTGCACAAATCCTTTTACAAAATATAATGACAGTTAATACCGGTCTGTACTTTTAAAATTGTTATTATTTAGCAAACTTAACATTTTTTGTGGTCTTAATTCCATGAATTCTTATAATGATCTCAGTGATACACATTAGCTTTGATTAAATCCATTATATGACTAAATTCATTCATCTTAAGTAATTCTTTGTAGACAATGTCAGTTATAATACAACTAGAAAATTGCTGATGATGTTTGACATTGTTGTGGCATTGTTGTCTCTTCTATCGTTTGTGCTGTGTTGCAGATCCTTGTGTAATGCTCGCAAGATGAAAAAAGTGAGATTTTTTTTTTCAGTTGTTCTTTTAAAACATTCAGACAATAGTGTTTTTTTTTTTTTCCTTTTTTTAATTCTGGTATATAATTTACAATCGAAAGAAAATAGCTGAATTTGATTGCATTACACTGCATTAGGAAATAAAGAGGCATTAATATTGATTGTATATACAAAAAAATTGAAACAATTTCCGAAAAGATATAAACAATTAAGTACTATTATTTGCAATGGACAAAATATAAATTTTAAATAACAAAAATATAAATACCTATATTAATTATATACATTATTAATCAGTGTCATAATGCTTCAAATTACCACAACTATTATTTAATCTCTGGTGACACTATCACATTTTGTGTGACAAATATTTGGGTGTAATATGACATCATCATCCCAGTATGGGCACATTACAAAACTTTGTCACATAAAATACGATTGTGCGGAGAGTGCCCATATAGGCATGATGATGTCATTGTCATATTACACCCAAATATGGGCATATGACACACTGTCCGAATTCAGGAAGTTGATTTTTTGACTTAAAGCCCAAAATCTTACACTTCAGGACATGCTTGTTGTGTGCATCTTGAGCCTTGTCCACACTGTCAAATTGCATTTGACAAAAAAATGTGACAGGCATATTTAAAATGTTGTCATGATGACATCACATCATGAACATAAATGGGCACATCATGACTATATATGGGCAATAATTTTTTTTATTTTTTTTTTTTTTTCAAAGAATTTATTATTTGAGGCATGTTGTGGTGAAATGGTTAAGTTGTCGCACAGTCCAGTATTAAGTAAATAAGGTATAAAATATGGGACCTCAAAAATTGCCTAAAAATCCAAATTTGTATTTCACTATAGATCAACAGTAATGTCTTATTAATCATGTCCCAAAGTATTAGTTCTGGAAGTGGTTAACAAATTGTTTATTTAATGTTATTTTTCATAGTTCATTCTATTAAACAATGTATGCACAAATGACTTCGAAAGGCAATTACTCAAAATCATGTTTATCTTGACTCTAAGAGTACTGTACTTTCACTTTCCAATAACCTAGGCTTGAAATGTCCAATATTAATGAATGACCCCTCATTTTAAAGATCACATACTCAGGTACCTGAAAATACCTATAACTTGAATTTCAATCTTTGTTACAACCATTTTGCCCCAACATGCCTCGTTTGGACAGAGCAAAATATATTTTATCGATGATATTTCCAGAAAACAGTTAAGTTTTTCTTGGAGAAGTTCAACAAATCATTGACATCCAGTGATCGGCTTAAGTTCTATGACTTTTGGCTTGTTGAGATTCTAGTGAGCGATTTGCTGGTGATGTTTGGTTCAATGTTGAAACTGCAAATTGAACAGAAGGTAAGTTAGCATAGAGGTTTTATATCAGCTAGTGCAAAATTCTGCAACCTTTTTACTTCACAGCCTACTTTGAGATTTTAGGCACCAAGCCTCAACCAAGCTGCACCAGGGACATAACCTGGCAAGAAGTTCTGATCATGAAAATTACCTCCTTGTGATGTACACAAATTTTACATTATTATCCGTTGTATTAGTCAAAATTTTCTATAAACTGCATGTTTATTATGCATTTTAACAAAAATGTTTTTCTCATTTGGGGGACTTCACGGCCCCCCCCCCCAAAAAAATGTTTTGTGGCCCAAAATTGGGCCATGGCACATAGATTGCGAGCCTTCAAATTAGAGTGCTAACTATGCAATGAAGCGATGTAGAGTTGTGAATCAGTACTCAACAAGATGCCTGCCATAGGAAATGCGCACCTTTAGGCCTAGAATACAAATTTATTACATCCACTAATATTATTTAATTAACCATTATTAATAATAATAAATTATTAACTAAGCCTTACTACGAAGAGGCCAAGTAAACTAGAATGAAATATATAGTATGCAATCAAATTCATGTATACAGCGAGGCAGGAGCGTAGCATATGGTTTGAGTAGTTGTATTTGTAACTTTTATATTAAATTGAGGGAGCCATTGAAAACGATGTGAATACTTTAAGCCCTGTCCAGACTATCAAATTTTGCTTGACATAATCATGTGATATATCTAAATATGGTATGGATGACATCACCTCATGACCATATATGGGCATATCATGACTATATATGGGCATACAACAATTTTTTGTCAAAGAAAATGTAATAGTCTGGGTAGAGCTTTATACTGTATTCGATAGAAGCAGAGTACATGCTATAAACAATTGCATGTGGTTTTGTGTTTCATTTTATTATCTTAGAATGTTTCAAGTTATGATTTATGCAGTGTATTGCTTGGAATTGGATGTCTTCTGGTCTGGTGTGGAATCTTGCGGTATTTGGGTTTCTCTTCAAATTACAATGTAAGTAAAGTCAATCAACTACAATACACTCCCCATTCCAGTTATTTTTTTTTTTTTTTTAACATGCTTGAATATGGACACAATAACACCACATCATGACCATATATAGGCTATATAGACTATGGGAATACATGAGATAGGTATAACATGGGAACATGGCATGGAAAGGGCCACACCAATATTTTTTATAAGCACCACTCTCGAATAAGTGAATAAATTATTTTTTTTCAGATATTGATCTTGACAATGAAAAATGCAATGCCAAATATGATGAGGTTCTTAATATGTGCTGGAACAATATACATGGGCTATGCATTTTGTGGTTGGATTGTGCTAGGTCCTTATCATTATAAGGTAGGTCTTTACTTTTTAGCTTTGATGTACTGTAGTGTAAATATAGACAATCTATCTAGGTAATTGTACTGCTGCTATTCAAGTCCTTGATAATAAACGTCAAATACTAAATAGAAAATGCCAGTTTTCTTTAAAACATCTCATAAAACATAATGGAATCACAAGGCTCACCTATAAATTCAACCCTGTTTGCTGATAATCGGTGACAGTTTAAGTGGTTTGTCATCCCTTTTTATCGCACCTCATCGTGTTGCGTTCATTATAAAATTAGGTTAGCTAAAAAATGTCTTAAAGTTTTTAAATGACTTATGGTAAAATACTCTTTTCTATCCTAATATAAGCTTTTAAGTTTGTGCATTCAAGGGTGAGAGAATATACAGCAATTGACCTTCCTAAGTAACTTTTACAGGGATGAATGCATCAAATGGCGAAACTCATTCTTATTAATATTTCCTAAGCATTTCCCATAATGTTAATAAATAAAACATGTTTTATATTAAAATTGTTGATGGATGTTTTTTTTTCTACAGTTTCGTACATTAACAAGAGCATTAGAATGTATGTACTCACTTGTGAATGGTGATGACATGTTTGCCACATTTGCCGAGATGTCGAAAAAGAGTTACATGATTTGGGTCTTCAGCAAAGCATATCTGTATTCCTTCATTAGTTTGTTCATCTATGTTGTTCTCAGTCTATTCATCGCTGTTATCATGGACACTTATGAAACTTTAAAAGTAGGTTAATTGTTAAATTTATATTTAATGTATAATGGTAGAATAGAAATACAATTTTGATGTTTAAGTTTACTCTATCATCAGTGGCGGTGCCAGCGTCTGAAATCTGGGAGGAGCAAGTAAGGGGAAAGCTAAAATTTTAGGGGGCAATATGCTGGGGTGGCCTAAGGTGGGCGTGGTCCAGGGGGAGAAGCCCCTGAAAAATATGACAATTTAGGGATTTTGGAGGCTTATTTAATCAATTTTACAGGTAGATAGTCTACTAATATGTAGAAAATATATATTATAATTTTTTTCTCTCCGATGGTTTTTGGTCTTTCTGAGGGGGTGGGGGTAAACTAGAGGTGGGGAAAGAAAATTTTCAGGGGGGGGGGGGGCAAATGCCCCGTTCCCTAGTAATGCTGCCACTGTCTCGTCTTGTTTACCATCATACCATCACTGTACTGAGGATTTGTTTTCTCTCTTGCCACAACGTAAGACTTTCTCGTCTTGGTTTTACATCCCATCCACTGACTCGTTCTTTCAAAAAAGACTGTAGACCTTTCATATGCATTCAGCTGTCGTTCTGTTTCTCTTTGGAACTCATTGCCTTCATTCTGTTTTCCTTTTGTTTATCAACCTTTTCAATTTAAATCTCTTGTGAACCGGTTTCTTTTAAATATGTAACCCCTTTAACCTTGAGTGGCTTCATTACCCTTGTTTAGGGTGATTGTCAATAAAAAAAATAATAATTTAAAAAAAAAATGATAATTGTTACATGTAAATAAGTATACCTTACACTCGATTCATATGATAGAAACATACTAAATATTAAGAAATTGCACCAAGATATGACCCCTAGCATTGACATTTTGGTTTGTGAGACTGCACACCTTAGTACAAATACAATCATATCTCGGTAAAAAAACAGACCTTAAAAAGGCTTGCAAAGTTTCCAAGATATTTGGGGCGAGTTAAGTAGCCGAGCCGTAAGGCAGGAGCACTGCTAACTACAGTCTTTAATGCTGGTTCACGCCGCTCCTTACCTAGAGTTCGGTGGGAGATCCAAGTCTTTTAGAGTAAAAACTTAAAATGGCGGTCCATTAATGTACACATCTGGCTCGTGTGCACTTTAAAGAAGAACCCATTACATCTTTCTAAAGCGTAGGGGGTTTCCCCAATAATATGACTCATTTTAGCCCCAGTCGTTGTGGAATAATGTGAACATGTGTAGCTACTATAAGCGCCTCTTTACAGCAGCTTGGTAGTTACGGACCACGCCCATACACAATTCAGCACAATGACTCTACAAGTTATGAATTATACTCCTACCTACATTTACTTTTAGCAACGATCTGTGCGCATGGTAAAAGTGGCACAGCTTATCTTTCACATTGGAATCATGCGTATCTTCATTCTGTGCATATCAATTGTACCACACTTTTAGTAGTTTATAATTAGCTGTGTGTAAGTGACAAATTTCTGTAGGAAAAGATTGGATCAGATATTCCTGTTAAAATTTACTACCTTTTTTGTTGTGTGAATCAGGGCTATTTATTTGTACTGCTTTTATAAAGCCCTGTCCAGACTATCAAATTTTATTTTACAAGAACATGTGACTATAGTCATAAGGACATCACACCATGACCATATACAGTTAAACTTACCTAAGTCGACTTTGCCTAACTCAAATCATTTCTAAGTCGATCTTATTTCACATGCCGGATTTTTGTGTTTTCCCTTAATGATCTGTAAGATCAAATTTTATCTAGTCATACAATTTTTCAATGCCATTTTTTATTCGGCTTAGGCAAATTCAACTGTATGTGTACATCATGACTATATATTGGCACACAACAGTTTCTTTGTCAAAGAAAATTTGACAGTGTAGACAGAGCTTAACCAATTGTTAACAAGGTGTTTTTCCCTTCAGGATTATCAGAAAAATGGATGGCCAATGAGTGAATTGATGACTTTTGTCAACAAGTGCACAGATCTTCCAGAGTCTGGGTGCTTTAGAGTTCCATCTGAGACACCAGAGAGGTCATGCTTATCTAGATGCTTTGGTCGAAGGTAAGTTGACAGGTCACTGAATTTCAAATACAAGATATCATTTTCGTAATAGAATATTCAAGGTGCAAGATACCTTTAAAACGATTACATATAACAAGAGAGAGATTCTCTTTTATCCCAATGCTAGACACTTCAAAAACAGATAAGTTGAGAAATATAA